CTGACGTTGCGGGTCGAGCGCAGGTTGGATGGCAGGGGGGTCTTCTGCTCGCAGGCGTCGAGGAGATGAAAAGCGACGGCAGCCAATCGCCCGACTGGCGCAGGCGCATTGCCGAAGATTCCCCTGGCGCAGGCGCATTGACGAGGACCCCCCAGGAGAAGGCGCGAGCAGCGCTGCTCAAAACTGAAGTCGCAATACGAAAAACAAATCGCGTGGCATCGGGCAACTCTGCGAGCAGCATGTCGCGTAGATGTTTCAATGGCTGCGGTTATCGCAGTCGGTGCCACTGCGTTGCCGCCGCTTTGAATCGGATGCGGGTGCTTGCGAAGAGTCCGGTCCTTCCGCGTTGCTCTCGAACAAAGTCCACTAGCGCCATCCACTGCGCCATATAGGGTAGACGCCGCCCACCAGCGCCTGCGTTGAGCAGCGCAGCTGGCGGCCGCGCTCGCCGCCAGGTCGGCGGCTAGCGCCCGCGGCCGCCGCCTCGGCCCAGTCCGTCGCAGCTGGGCTTTCATCCACGCGCCGCGGGTCGCGCAGATCCATGCTAGGGGAACCTCGCGGCCCGGGGCGAGGCTGGGCCAGTCGCGTCGCCTGGGCGACGCGCGGCGTCGCCGCCGCGCCCGCCCGCGCCGGGCAGCGCCGGCGCGCGGGCCAGCCAGGGCAAGGGGTTGGTGCAGACCGAAGCCCGCGACATCGGAATCGAGAAGTAGTCGATCTAGGTGCAGCGCCCGCGACCGCGCGATGCAGGACAGCGGCGTGGAACAATGGGCCCGGCAAGCAGTCGGGGACATTTGTCGAGGCGAAGTGTCGTTGCGAGGCGTGCCAGTCGTTTGCGGCGACTTAGGGCGCGGCGAAGTGAGTGGCGAATTCTCCGGGCGCGCCGAGTCCACCGCAACCCTTGCTGCGTGCGCTGCGCCGCTGCGCGGCGCCGCCTTGCGCGCCCGCGCCCGCGCGGGCGCCCGCCGCCCAGCGAGGGGGAGGTTGGCCAGTGCCTCTGCCGGCAAGCTTCCGCCCTGCGGGGGAGAAGATCGCGCGCGCGATGAACGGGCCCATTCCTTCTCGCGGTTCGCCCGAGTCGGCGCGCAAGCGCGGGGCCATGAAGGACCGCCATCCGCAAACGGGAGTCCGTTCTTGTTTTATCTCCAAATTGTCGCCTGCCAAGGCGCCCCAGCCGCGACGGTGGTGGTTCGCTGGCGCCGCCGCCGAGGAAGTATTGTCTATTTGGCCAGCTGCTACTGCCGTCGAGTGACGCAGCGCGCTTCGTCGCGTGGCGAGCGCGCCAGGGTGCCCCATGATGCGCCGCGCGGTAACTAATCTCCTCTGTCGCCTGGGCGAGTGCCAGGGCCTGCGCGCGCCCGCGCGGTGGCAAGGGTGTTTGGGGCGGGGGCTCTATCGCGCGCCGATGGGACGGGGCTGTAGATGACGTTGGTGCTGCCCCCACTCAAGCGGGCAGGGCTCGAGTCAAGGCTTGGATTTTCTACCAGGGGGCCCCGGGCAGCACGTCGGCGTCGACTGCTTGAGACGCTGGCGATGGCTGCCGGGAAGCTCGGCGCCGAATGGGCCGCATCAGCGACGCCGATATGTCCAGCATTGCCCGCGCGCGGCGGCCTGGTGGCAGCCCGGGCTGCAGCCGCGCCGTCGTCGACGACGCGCATTTCGCGCTCGACGCATTCGCGCTTTTCCACAGCGGCGCCAAGCTTGACTCGGAACTCGGCACCTCCTCCGTGAGCTTTCCCAGATCGTGAGGCTTATGTTGACGTTTGGCCATGGCATGGCGAAGGAGGTCCCTGGGCGTCCTTGTTCTCCCGTGGCGGTCAGATCCCGCTTGGCTTGGTCGGCGCGGTCGTGATCGCTGGCGTTTCGTCGGCGTTGCATTGGAGGCCATTTCTTTATTGCTTGGGGCATGACGGGCGCCATGGCCCCCGCCCCCCCCCCCCCTTATGACGTAACGCTCCGCCCCCCCCAGTGCGCTCCGGGCGCTGCCGCCGTGAGCACTGGGATCCGCGTAGGCGTCCGCGTAGGAATCCGCATAGGTGTCTGGTCCGCAGGCGTCGTCGTCGTCGTCGTCGTCGTCGTTCATCGTCGTCGCTCGTGGTTCGTCGCTCGTCGCTCATCGTCGTCGTGCGCGCGGACGCGGCTGGAGCCTGTTTTTAAGTCCAGGCCGATGACGGCAATCATCTGGGGGGGGAGGGGGTCGATGACGTCACGTTTCGCGCCGGCGGCTTTTGGGAATGGTTCGGAATGACGGAAGACAGGGTAGCACGAACATGTAGGTGGCGATATGCACCACATCGCCTGTGTACATCACAGTGCCCGCGTGCACCACAGCGTTTGTGTACACCACGCCGCTGATGTACACCACAGCGCCTCCGTACACCACATCAACCGTGCGCAACACAGCACCAGTGTACACCACAATGCCTGCGTGCATTGCAATGCCTGTGTACGCCACGGCGCCTGTGTTCACCACATCAGCCGTGTGCAACACCGCACCATTGTTGTGTATAGAATTTCAGAAGGAATCCTTGTGACAACGTGGAGCGCGTGTGGATTCCAGAGAAAACCATGGAAAACAAATCTTCATGGACAAAGGAGCGCCGCTGGAATCTACGAGTCCCCCCGAGTCCGCCCGCATCACCCTAACTCACACTTGCGTCCAGGAGGCTCCAGCTAAACTGGCCGTCCGAGAACGAAGGGGACCGATTCAATCGACCATCCTGCGGTGCACGCTGAGATGCGCATGTGCGTTGTAGCGCCAAGCCGCACGACAGCGGGTAAGAAGGAGGAAAGGAGGACGAGGAGGAGGAGGTGGAGGAGGAGGGAGGAGGGAAAAGCGCTTCATTCGATTATCAGAACACTTGCCTGGCTTGGCGTGTGGTTGTCCGTATCAGATCCTGACGTACATGCTCCTTTTACCTGTCCTATGCACGCCGGCACTGTGGTGTAAATCAGCGCTGCGTTGCACGCGGATGCTGTGGTGTAGACAGGCGCTGTGGCGTGCACAAGCGCTGCGGTGCACGCAAGCACTGGTGTACACAGGCGTTGTGTTGCACATTGCTGCTGCGGTGTATGTACACCGGCGCTGTAGTGTTCCCAAGTATTGTGGTATACGCGCGCGGTGCGTTGCACACGGCTGTTGCGGTGTACGCAGGCGCTGTGGTGCACGCGCGCGGTGTGGTGCACGCGAGCGTTGTAGTATACACAGGCGCAATGGGCACATCGCCATTACATGCTGCTCGCGTCGTCGTCCTCGCTCGTCGCTCGTCGCTCGTCGCGTCGTGCGCGCGGGCGCGGCTGTGGTGCCGGAGCCACACGGCGGGGGGGGGGGCGTCACGTCATACCCCCCCCCCGCCCTCCCCCCCCCCCCCATGACGCTCGTCATCGCCGGACATAAAGAAACGCCTCCTTCTTGCCGTCGTGGGCCAGCGCGCGCGGCCTGGCCCGCGCTACCAGCTGTCGCGTTTACGTTGTCGGGGCCGTCCCCAGCGGCGCCGCGCGCGCGTGCACGCTGCGCGGCGGCTGACGGCAACGGTGGGCCCTCGTGTCGGCACGAGGCTATTGCCATGGCGATGAGTTAGGACGAGAGCCTTGCCGATCATTGCTAAAGCAATTGTTGGCGAGCCCACGCTGGCGCGTTGCTTTTCAAATCCACCTTTCAGATCGTGTCCGCCTGGCTGTTTGCGCTCAGGGTGGGTCGGTGGGATTTCAATCTGCCGTGGATCTCCCGCGCGTCGGGCTTGCCGGATATGAGTCCTTCAGAGGTTACGAGCCGCGGCGCCTTGCCGCGAACAACTGCTCAACGATCTCGGGAAGAAAAACACGGGGTGGCTTTCCACTGCGCCCAGGCCGCCGCCGCGTCCGGCAGCGCTGGCGGCGGGGGCGGCGATGCCTGGATAGGGGGCGGCCGCTACGCGCGCGGCTGGCGACGCCGTATGCTTCGAGCACTGAAACGAGATATGCGGGGCTCGCTTTCGCCAGAAGGTTCGAGCGAGCCTTTCTAGTGACGACGATGGTCCTGGTAATAACGAGGATGAAGGGGGGTCAGACAATAAGGAGGATTGATGATGAAGAGAATAATGACGAGGATGGGGATGAAGGTGCTGTTGATGAGGACGGTGCGCATGATGGTGATGATGACAGTGGTGGTAATGATGATGATGATGTCGATGAATGTGATGATGCCGTTGGCGTCGATGATGTTGGTTATGCTGATGCGGATGTTGAGGATGATGATGATGATGATGATGATGATGATGATGATGATGATGATGATGATGATGATGATGATGATGCTGGTGCTCATGATGTTGGTGGTGGTGAAGATGGCGACGATATCGACGACGACGGTGCTGATGCCAATGATGTTGGTGAACGGTGACGATGATATGCATGTCGATGTTGATGCGGATAATCGTTTTCACGATGTTTACAGTGGTCATGTGGGTGATGGTGGTGGTGATGCTACTGACGTTGATAACCATGACGGTGAAATTGATGGTGAACATGATGGCGATGTTGGTACGCGTGGTGGTGATACGATGATATGCTGATGGTGCTGATGGTGATGATGCTGGTGATGGTGACGATGATGATCATGGTGATGAACTTGATGGCGATGCTGGCAACTATGATGGTGATGACATGTTGATATGATGGTGGCGATGCTAACATGGCGGTGGTGATGGTGGTGGTGGTGGAAATGGTGGTGGTGACGGCCATGGTGATGATGAGGATCATGATAATGATGGCGATGCCAATGATGCTATGATGATGGTGCTGGTGGTGGTTATGATGATGGCGCCGGTGATGGTGATGGTGATGGTGATGATGGTGATGATAATGGTGGTGAGGACGATATGGTGATGGTGATGGTGATGGTGGTGGTGATGGTGATGAGGATAACGATGATGATGACGGTGCTGATGACGAGGAGCAGGAGGGGCGCGACAGGAACGAACCGCACGGCTCGCGCCTCGAGGCAGGCCGGGCCCGCGCCCCAGGCCTCTGCCTTCAAGGACCTCGAGGCGCCGCCCCCGGCTCCGACGGGCGGGCACGGGGCCCGTGGTCACTCGCTGGGAGGTGGTCCCGAGGCTCATGCCTCCCCCCTCCCCCTCCCTGGGAGGCAGAAGAGAGGCGAGGAGGAGGAGGACGCGGGAGGACGAGGGAAAGGAGGAGGCGGAGGAGGAGTATGAAGTGATCTGGTTTAGGGGCGCCTTAACCCTGAACCCCATTGGTGTGACCAGCGGCCTGGTGCACCACCTATGTGTGCCACCCGAGGACAGGACATGTCCTGACCTGGGTGCGTGGAGGGCGAGGGAGGAGGAAAAGGACGACGATGAGGGAGGAGGATGGAGGAGGAGGGAAGAGGAGATGCGAGGTCAGTCAATCATTTGAATTTGGGAGCCTCCGGCGCCCTTCCGTTCCCTTTCTCTCGTCTCTTGCTGTTCCCCTGCCCGTTCCTCCCTTTTCCCCCGTTCGCCGGGGCCCAAACATGTACACCACCACCACCACCACCTCCCTCGCCCCCTCCCTCTCTCTCCCATGAGAGTGGAGGAGGGGTGGGGATCAGGGTTGGTTCTGTATTTTCATGGAGCCCGCACTTCCCCCCCCCAGCAATGCTCCACCCAGCCCCTCCGGCTCCCGGGCGCAAATTGCTCGAAGTCGTGCACGGGGGCCACAGAGAGATCTCAAGGCTCCAGGCTAGGCCTGGGCCATACAGCTATAACCTCCCGCTCCTCCCCCCCCGTCTAAGGAGAAGGAGGACGAAGAGGGGGAGGAGGATGAGGGGGAGGCCCCGGGGGAGGGGAAGAAAGTCGGAACGAGCAGACTGTAAGGATGGTGGCGGAGGAGGGCGGAAGAAGGTGGGACGTGGAAATCGTAATGTGAATCGATGATAACTGGAACGCGGGATGCCCACGCCATGACCCGACGGGACTGGTTCGCGCACATCAGCTGCTTTGGACGATTCCCTCGACAGAACCACTTCTATCTAGCAGCGACCCTGGTAGCTTTTACACTGCGCCATCGCTTTGCAGCCGCAGTGCTACAGTCAAAGCGCACAGCAAGGATGAACGACTTTCCAAGGCTACTCTTGCACCCTTGCCCCCTCGGCCCATCCTTGGCCACTTTCGCTTGCCGCGCCCCGCTCGAAAGGTGTCAACATGGCCTTCCATGGCCCTTGCATCCTTATCGTGCGTCCTTGTTATACGCGTTGATGCGCCATCACTCAGCTCCCGCAGTGCCACCTGCCTCGGTCAAGCCGTGCGTTGGCAGCACCTCCTCCTTGCTTAGTCACTCGGCCGCCAGGGCGGTCGCGGAGGCTCGGGACGCCAGGGTAACCCCCACATCACCGTTCTGGGTCATCGGGCGTGGGCCGTCAACTTCGCGAGAGCACGGGGCTTCAACACTGGGCGTACCCTGTCATGTGATCGTGCTCGGATGTTCGCGAACTGTGCGCTAATGAGTTCGAACCTTCTGGTCGTGAACTCCAAGGACCCCAAGGGCCTAGTCCACTGCCGCTCGGTTGGGGAGAAATCGAGATGTTCAAAACGAACGTGTCGTAAACTGTTCGGGAACATATGCTCGCGACATGTCCAGGTTAGCCCTAGTTTCAGCATTGTCGGTGTCCTGGACAGCGGCCCGTCCGCAGGTAGTGATGCACGTTGGTTGCATTCGATGCGCACCTTTGATGCATTATTTCAAGGATGTGCGCGGTTCGGTCGGTTCGGCCGCGTCGCAGTCGGTTCAGTTCGGTTTAGTTCGGTCGGTTGTTGTGCCGTGGCTCGTCATTGCGCTTTTTGTCAGTATTGTCTTGGTTGCTTGCGAACTGTCGGTTTCGGTCGGTTCCAGCTTTGTTGTCGGCTCGGTGTTCGTGTGATCTGATGTCGCCGTGGACGGCCCTTGGTATTTAGGTCCCGCACTTGGGGCGAGCCACCGCGGTCTGGGGAGGTTGGCAAGGCGGTGGTATCGGCCGCCTCGTGCTGTCGAGTGGGCGCTCCTCCTTGTTCGGCCGAGACTTCTGACGCGGCTTAGTTTTCATACCCAGGGGCCGATCATCGGCTGCGGCCTGCGGCCTTGGGAACGCCAACCCCAACCCCAGCTCGATGCCTCCCGCCGTGAAGCCCTCCAAGTGTGCCCCATCGGAGGACCTGTCAAGTCACCGCACCCCTTGGTGCCCGCAGTCGTGCGCTTGGGCATGGAGCGTTCCCGTCCAATGCGCAAACCAGCTTGCAATGCAGGAGGGGGCCACTTTGTGATAACATACTTGTTCTGAACTCCGAGCGGATTTCTAGGATCGACGCGGGGGCCCCCTGGCGGCGCCTCTGGCACCGATCTTGGCGCGCCCTGCGCGCCAGGGAGGGGATCCAGCGCCAATGCAAGAAATCTGCGCGGACCTCCGAAAGTTTATGATGTCATCTGTTTCTCTATCTTCGGCTCCTTGCGGGCATGCCGTGTCCAGGCTGGACCGTGCTCGGTCCAGAGGTCTATTCGGTGGGCTATTTTGAAATGAGGCTCTCCCGCTCGCCGCGCGACGTCACTTGCGATGTCGGATGGGGGTCACCGCATGCTCCTCGGCTTCAGTGGGCATGCCATGGCAGGCTGCACTGTGCTTGAAGTTCAGAAGTCATCGGCAGCCAGCGTTCTCCGCGAGGGCGCTCACCGCTGGAAGTCGCGGATGCGCAGCTCGAAGCTGGTCGAGTTGGCAGTGGGATTCTGGTTGCCATGGGGAAGAGGGGACCTGGAGGCCCCCCCCCCAGGCATGATCGCCAACCAGTTTCTTTTCAGTCGGGGCAGTAGCGAACGCGCAGCGCGTCCGTCGCCCAAGCGTGGTAGCTGCTGGCATACCTACACGAACCGCGGGGAGACAGAAGATGGCGGCCGCGGAGTAGGGGAGAACTTGGCGGCGCACTTACAACATGAGTAGGAATCGTGCAAGGTGCGCGAGTGCTCAGAACTGGGACTGACCAGGGAAAGCGTGTGCGCAGTGCGGTCTGACCGATCGAGGCTCGACGAGAACCAGGTGGTGGCATGATGCTGGTGCAAATTGCGCGCTGCACTGGGGCAAAGTTGAAGCCGTGGGCCGAGACCAGGTTCGGGTGGTGTTGTCGACTGCCAGACTGGTGAAGAGCGTCTGTCAACCCAGTTGCTTGTCACGGGCGCGCGGGGCGCAGACTGCTCAAATGCCACCCGGGTTGTTCAAGGAGGTGCCGACGCGGCCCACGGCATTGGCCTTGGGGAGGGCCCTAGCGTCTAGGACTCCTTTCCCTCAGGACCCGTTTCCGTCATGCCGAGATGGGTAGGAAGGATATGTAGACGACGCGGAGAAGGAGTAGAAGGATGAGGTGGGGAGTAGGAGGAGGGTAAGTCTCGCGCCACCACGGCTTGGGAATGGATGGCCAGTATGGGATCTGTCATAGGATAAGGTGGCGAACACATGTTTCAGAGGTTAGTATTGGGCCTACCCTGAAGGTGAATGAATTGGGGCAACCGCATCTGGTTCGTAACCGCCGGCAGTTGCTCCACTGATCCCCATATTATCCGTAAGGGCTTCGGCCCCTTCAAGCGGCCCCCTCTCTCGGAGAAAGGGCCATGGAAGAGCGACGTCATGAGGCTTTGGCTTCACCGTGAAGCAGCGTCGGAACTTCATGCGAAGACGACGGGTAATTGGCAAGACGAATGGAGATTGCGAGTTTGTTGTTGTACTCGCTGTTGTATGGATTTCACAAATGTGGCAAATCCTTTTTGGACCCTGACCCCGCCGATCTGTATGAGGGGCGCCACCGAATTTTCAAAAATGTGGCAAATCCTTAGTGCTTTTGCACCCTGACCCTGTCGATCCGCGTGATGGGTGCCACCGAATTTCAGAAATGTTGAGAATCCCATGGGTTTTCGAACCCTGATCCCGCCGATCTGCGTGAGGGGTGCCATCGAATTTCAGAAATGTGGCATTTCCCATGTGTTTTTGGACCCTGACCCCGCCGATCTGCGTGAGGGGTGCCACCGTTTTCCAGAAATGTGGCAACTCCCATGTGTTTTTGTCCGCCGATCTGCGTGAGGGGTGCCAGCAAATTATAGAAATGTGGCAAATACAATTTTTCTTTGCACCCTGGCCCCGCCGATCTGCGTGAGGTGTGCCACCGAATGTCAGAGATGTAGCAAATCCCATGTGTTTTTGCACCCTGACCCTTACGATCCGCGTGAGGGTTGCCACTGAATTTCAGAAATGTTGAGAATCCCATTGGTTTTCGCACCCTGACCCCGCCGATTTGCGTGAGGGGTGCCATCGAATTTCAGAAATGTTCAGAATCCCACGGGTTTTCGGACCCTGACCCCGCCGATCTGCGTGAGGTCTGCCACCGAATTTTAGAAATGTTGAGAATTCCATGTGTTTTTGGACTCTGACCCCGCCGATCTGTGTGATGGGTGCCACCGAATTTTCAAAAATGTAGCAAATCCCATGCGTTTTTGCACCCTGACCCTGTCGATCCGCGTGAGGGGTGCCAGCAAAATTCAGGAATGTGGCAAATCCCATGTGTTTTTGCACCCTGACCCTTACGATCCGCGTGATGGGTGCCACCGAATTTCAGAAATGTTGAGAATCCCATTGGTTTTCGCACCCTGACCCCGCCGATCTGCGTGAGGGGTGCCACTGAATTTCAAACATGTTGAGAATCCCACGGGTTTTTGGACCCCGACCCCGCCGATCTGCGTGAGGGGTGTAATTTTTTCGCGTGAAGGGCGTAGGCCCAGGGTTCTCCTTTAGCTGCTTACCCCCGGAGATGGGCCGGCTCATTTTTTTTGCGATAAATAGCGAGGTCGCGAAGGGCCGGCGAATTAAAATTTGAGGATGTCTCGAGCGAAACGCTTGTTTTTTCAGAATTAGTTGAGGATGTCTCGAGCGAAACGCTTGTTTTGAGTTATGTATTGTCCTCTCCTGGGGGCCTGAATTCTGAGGATCTCTCAAGTGGATTGCTTGATTTCACGTGCCCAGGTCTTGAGGATTTTGTTGAGGATGTCTCGAACCAGAGGCTTGTTTTCACGTGTCCAGGTCGCCCAGGCGGATGTCCAGCATGAGGATGTGTCGAGGAAGTCTCGATCGAGACGCTTGTTTGCACGTGTCCAGGTTGCCCAGGCGGGTGCCTAGCATGAGGATGTGTTGAGAATGTCTCGAGAGATACGCTTGTTTTCACGTGTCCAGGTCGCCCAGGCGGATGTCTAACATGAAGATGGGTTGAGGATGTCTCGAGCGAGACGTTTGCTTTCACGTGTACAGGTCGCCAAGGCGGATGTCTAGAATGAGGAGGTGTTGAAAACGTCTCGAGCGAAACGCTTGTTTTCACGTGCCCGGGTCACCCACGCGGACGTCTCACATGAAGCTGTGTTGAGGATGTCTCGAGCGAACTACTTGTTTTCACGTGTCCAGTTCGCCCAGGCGGATGTCTAGCATGAGAATGTGTTGAGGATGTGTTGAGCGAAACGTTTGTCTTCACGTGTCCAGGTCGCTCGGGCGGATGTCTAGAATGAGGGTTTTGACAGGATGTCTCGAGCGAAACGCTTGTCCCCAGCACGTTCCGTAGCGCGTCCCCCTGGCACGTCCCGCGGTGCGTCCCCATGGCACGTCCCCTAGCATGTCGGCTGGCGCGTCCCTTGAGACGTTCCGCGGCGCGTCCTCCTGGCATGTCCCCCTGTCAATTAGCTCTGGGGCAGCTACTATGTGTTCAGGCAGCTCGAGCTTAAGATCCAGATCAGTTCGGTCAGGACTCGGATGCAAAGGAGGACTCGATCCACGACGCTATAGAGCACAACCGCGGCATGGCACATCGCAATTCAGCACGGTGCAGCACAGCACAGACTTCGGCACGGTACATCAAGATCGATACAATCAGCATTGCAACCTGGCACGTTCCTTGGCACGTTCCGTGGGGCGTCCCTTGGCGAGTCCCCCTGGCACGTCGCGTGGCGCGTCCCCTGGCACATTCCGTGGCACATCCATTGGCACGTTCCGTAGCGCGTCCCCTTGGCACGTCCTACGGTGCGACCCCATGGCACGTCCCCTGGCACGTCGCCTGGCGCGTCCCTTGGGACGTTTCGCGGCGCGTCCTCCTGGCATGTCCCCCTGCCAATTAGCTCTGGGGCAGCTACTATGTGTTCAGGCAGCTCGAGCTTAAGATCCAGATCAGTTCGGTCAGGACTCGGATGCAAAGGAAGACTCGATCCACGACGCTATAGAGCACAACCGCGGCATGGCACATCGCAATTCAGCACGGTGCAGCACAGCACAGCCCTCGGCACGGTACATCAAGATCGATACAATCAGCATTGCATTTGCCCGTCACCCAATCAGGTGTCTTTGAAAACGTTGCCATGCGTTATATTTATATATTCCTTTCCGGGTTCGTGGGTCGATCATGTTACCCATCCGAGCAATTCAGAGCACACGCTCAAGGCGTGCTAAAACTGCCCGTCTGGGCCTCCCCCCTCTCGCGCGGTCCATCAACAAGGAACAGTAAGCAGCAAGAAACATCAACAAGGAACAGTAAGCAGCAAGAAACATTAACAAGGAACAGTAAGCAGCAAGAAGCAGAGCTGTAACAGTGGAAACTGGAAGCTGCAACTGGTACAGGGAACTGCGAACCTTCGCCCTACAGCCTGGTGGCCCCACAAGGGGGCTGGCGGATTCAATCGCTTCGCTCACTCCGCCGGCCTATGTCTGGGCACTGTTGCGTCGACTGGCCGAGTGGTCGTTGGCGGTGTTGAGCTGCAGTGGCGTCGGCTGCTTTCTGAGGCGTTGCGTGGGGCATGATGCTGGGCGGATCTGTTTGGATTTCTTGGGAGTTGTCAGGGGAGTCGGTCGCTGTTCGCGGGGCGGCTAGTTGTGTGGTGCTTTGTTGAACTTCGGGTGCCTTCGTGGGGGTTTGCTGGTCGTGGATGCTCACTCTGGGGTATGTTGATGGGGCGCAGGGGACATTTGATGCGGCGATGTTGGGGTTCCCTGGCAGGTGTCGCGGAAGCCTTTTGGACGCAGTTTTGAAGCTTCTTGAGGCCTCGTCAGGGCCGCTTGGGTGCCTTGGGGGCCTGATTTTGGGCCTCTCGGGGGCTTCTTGGGATTTCTGGGTGCTTCTTGGGAGCCTGCTGGCGGTCTCGGAGGGGCCCCTGGGGTCGGAAAGCTTCAAATGTCATTTCGAGTCCCCCTCTGGGGGTGTCTTGGGCCGTTTTGGAGGTCTGCTGGGTCGTCTTGGAGCTCTCTTGGGCCCTCTTGGGCGCATCTTGGGGGCATGTTGGGCCATCTCGGGGCGATCTTGGGGGGCTCTTGGGCAATCTTGGACGCTGGAACCTCTGAACGTCGTCTATGAGTCTATGCCAGAAACGTACGTTTCCTTCTGGGATTTCGACGATTTGTTGTTTGTTGGGGCCCTCTTGGAGGGCCTCTTGAGGCTCTCTTGGAGCTTCTCGGCGGCGTCTAGGGCCGTCTGGAGACCAGCATGGGCGTCTTGGAGCAATCTTTCGGCGACTCGGGGCCCCTTGGACCGTCTCGGAGCCTTCTGGGCGCGTTCCTGGAGCGCTCTGGGAGGCCTGGAAGGCAGCTCTCTTGGGTCCTCTTGGGCCCTCTTGGCCGCATCTTGGGGGCATCGGGGGCATGTTGGGCGATCTTGGGGGGCCCTTGGGCAGTCTTGGACGCTGTGAACCTCCGAACGTCGTCTATGCCAGAAATGTACGTTTCCCCGAAGGCATGGGGCGATTTTTGCTGGCTGGGGTCCTCTTGGAGGGCCTCTTGAGTATCGTTTGGAGCTTCTCGGCGGCGTCTAGGGCCGTCTGGAGACCAGCATGTGCGTCTTGGAGTAATCTTTCGGCGACTCGGGGCCCCTTGGACCGTCTCGGGGGTGTCTCGGAGCCTTCTTGGCGCGTTCCTGGAGCGCTCTGGGAGGCCTGGAAGGCAGCCCTCTTGGGTCGTCTTGGAGCCCTCTTGGGCCCTCTTGGGCCCTCTTGGCCGCATCTTGGGGGCATCGGGGGCCATCTTTGGGCGATCTTGGGGGGCTCTTGGGCAATCTTGGACGCTGTGAACCTCCGAACGTCGCTTACGCCAGAAATGTACGTTTCCCATGGAAATTCAACGATTTGTTGTTTGTTGGGGCCCTCTTGGAGGGCCTCTTGAGGCTCTCTTGGAGCTTCTCGGCGGCGTCTAGGGTCGTCTGGAGACCAGCATGGGCGTCTTGGAGCAATCTTTCGGCGACTCGGGGCCCCCTGGACCGTCTCGGGGTCGTCTCGGAGCCTTCTGGGCGCGTTCCTGGAGCGCTCTGGGAGGCCTGGAAGGCAGCGCCGAGGAGGAACACCATCTCTGAGCCGCACTGGCGGGGACCTGCTCGGGGTACTTTTCGTCTGGGAGCCCCCAGAAGTCCCCCCAGCGCGCGCGAACTAGAATATATTTTAAACCAGTTACCGGAGATCTTAGCACGCCTCGGGCCAGGTGGGCTGGTGAATTCTTCGAGCTCCTACGGTGTCCTCCTTTCATTTCTGATCCCCAGTCGGGAGAGGGCTTACCTGGTGGGGTCTCTCCCTGTTTGTAGCAGTTCCCGTCCTGCTTTGGTAGACCTCCAGGGGGCACTTTCGCTCGGCCTGTGTCTTGTTTGGCCATCGCTGCACCACCTGCCAGTACGTCATCCACGAGTGCGACGGCCACATCTCCAGAGAGAAGGCCCGGGTGCGCGAGGAGGCGAGGAAGAGGCGCCAGCCGCCTCGGGACGGCGAGACCAATCGTTGATGCTTGGCGTATCCCCACCAGCCCATCCACAAACGATGCCCAGGCGAGTTGCCTCAGGGAAGCGGAGGAGCATGCATTGAATCAGGAGCTGGGGAAGCCCTCAAACCGAAGTCTCGGATGAGCCTGCGCAGACCCAGGAGCGAACCGTATGCGCCTTTGCGGACCTGCCGAATGAGGAAAGGCGGGGAAGAAGGACGGGGGGGATGAGGGAGAGGAGGAGGAGGAGGAGGAGGAGGAGGAGGAGGAGGAGGAGGAGGAGGAGGAGGAGGAGGAGGAGGAGGGTCAAGAGGAGGAGGAGGAGGAAGAGGAGGAGGAGTAGGAGGAGGTCGGGGAGGGGGAGGAGGGAGGAGATAGGGAGAGAAATATGTGGATGCGAGGGGGAGGAGGAGGAGAAGGAGGAGGAGGACAATGGCGAGTTCTGCGGCTTCTTGGAGCGTCTTGGAGGCCTCTGGGCGGTCCCGGAAGCCTCCTGTGAGCGTCTTGGGTACTTCGGGGAGCCTGTTGGGTCTTGGTGGGGGTCTCTTGGAGGTCTCTTGGAGGCCTCTTGGGCGCCTCTTGGGGCCTCCTGGGCGCCTCTTGGGGCCCTATTGAAGCGCTCTTGGGAGCCCTGGGAGCGCTCTTGGGGCCATCTCGGAGGAGATCGATCAAAAAGGGGGGGGCTTCAATTTCGCCCCCCCACGCTCCAGCCGCGCCAGGTGCGCCACGATCGGGGCACGGGCAGAGTGTGTCAGGTGCGCCTGCGCACGTGACAGCACACATCGGGAAGCATGTCGGCCGCCACCATCCATGTCGAAGACCAGTGCACATCATTGTGGATCATTGCGTCTGGTGGGACTGCGCACAGCAGGCCATAAGCCACCAATTGACAGTGATCGCGGGGTTGCCACGCATGATCCAGATTTAGCCGCGAGGTGTATTTTGTATTGCTTTTTGTCAGGGATGGTAGCCCTGCGCGCAGCATGGAATATGCTGACACCCCCGCCGTCCCTGTCAAAAGCAATACAAAGTGCTCGCGGGCCTCGCGAACATGACTCATGACTTTGCCCCAAGGTGTACTTTGTACCCCTGTGCTGCCGAGATTAATCCCACAGGGATGTTAAAGCTCGGGCTCGCGGGGGGATTATAAATGTTGCCTACCGGAGGCCAGCATGTGGGAGGAGAAAGAGATGATGTTAAGAGGACGGAAAGCCGAGGATCGAGGATCGAGAATCGATGTCCGAGGATCGAGGATCGATCCCAGAAGTAGAGAAAGATAGACAGACAGAAGGAGAGAGGTGGATGAGGAGGAGGAGGAGGAGAAACGCCAAAGTTGCAAACATATTAAATTTAAGTTGTAAACGAGCAATGGAAATTAAGATGTTCATCTGCTCGTGTAGGGTAGCTCACGTGCCTCGGTTTTCGTGGATAGTAAACCACAGCGATAAAAAAAAAAAACAAGTTCAGGGGGTGCAGGGGGGGAGGAAACGGAAAGAGAGAGAGAGAGAAGCAGACAGAAGAGAAAGAGAGAGAGAGAGATAAAGAGAACGCTGTTGGTTTCGCTTGAGACATCCTCGACAACGTCTTCGCTTCGTTCGCTGTTGCTATCTCAACATGAGAAGGAAGTTAACCTCGATGGTGAACTTTTCACAGTGATAAAAAGTTCGGCCTCCGCGCCCCGCGCCCCTGACCAAACTCTTCTTGGCCGTGGATAGTCAACTCTAGCGTGGAAAGGGGGGGGGCCATTTGTATCATCGGCACAAGGTTCTTGTTTTTTGTCAGGGATGGTGTGGGGGGGCGCATCGGGTTGGCCGCGAATCCTCCAAATGTGGAGGCGGAGTGCGTTTTGTAATGTTTCTTGTCAGGGATGGTGGGGTGTGTGGCCCGCATGGGGTTGGCATGGCTCCGGGTTGGCCGCCGGCCGGGTGGGGGAGGGGGTGTATATTAATAGGGAACAGTGTTCAAGACACCTCCTAGATAGCAAGCCGTCTAGCTCACTCCCACCCGCCCTCCCAACACATAGGGAACACCCTGGCCTCTGAATGTTCAGCGGTCGTCTTTGGATGGGCAGTTGTTGGGATCCGAAGCCGAGCTCATGTGCGCGACGCTGGGGCGAGGTGCGCCACGCGTGCCAGGCGCGCCACACGCATCAGGCAACCCTGGGGCCCGAGCGTGCCAGGCACGCCTGGTGAGTCAGATGCGCCACGTGCCTCCGCGTCGCCAGGAGTGCCGCACACTCCAGCGGCGCCAGGTGCGCCACGTTCGGTGCACGGGCAGAGTGTGTGAGGTACGCCTGCGCACGTGACAGCACACATCATGCCCATGGGTCTTGGTCTCGTGAGTCTCACGAACATGACTCTGGACATTGCCCCAACGTGTACTGTTTTTTTTGTGATAGGGATGGTGGGGTAGTGGCCCTCATGGGGTTATCATTGTTCCTGGTTGGCTGCCAGTCGCCTGAGGGAGGGGGTGTATATTCATAGGGAACAGTGATAAACCCCTCCCCGAAGGGGAAGAAGGGTGTTGGAAGAGGAGGGTCTCTAGAGCACCTACGCCCAGAGAACTGGTGGGATTGGCGCGCCATGGCAGTCGAAGATCCAGCTGGGTGAATAGCCAGCGGCGGACAGATGGAAGCCCAGGGCTCATTTCGAATTTCCCGGTTCGATTCGATTCGATTTCCATGGCTTCCATTCCGATTCGATTCGATTTCGGATTCCGATTTGGGCTCCGATTTTTCAATGTTGGCCTACTAGCCTGCCGATTTTCGCCGATTCGACGTCTCCCGACTCGGCTGCCGATTTCCGCCGATCCGATCCATGTCGATTGCCGATCCGATTTGTCGATACTATGTTGGGCTCTCTTGGAAGCTCGAATCTTGTTTGACATCACTCTTGACTGGTAAGCTAGACATTTCATTTGAACAGCCACCCTGCTGGTGCCAGGTGGTGGTGGGGGGCGGGCAAAGGGGTGCGCGCGTGTGTGTGGCCGTTCGAGGTGGTTGTGCTCGGGTGGTTGTGCGGAGGGTTGCGTTTGGTATCCCTTTTGGGGGATGGTGCGCGGCGCCTCGCTCGCAGAATCAGTCCTCATGCGTTGCACCCAGACTTCCAGACTTCCAAAGGCAGCTTCTCCTCTTGTCTGTAGAACAACAGCGGCACATACATTTTTTTCGGAGGTCCGCGCAGGTTCTCTTGGTTCGGCGCTGGGCCCCCCCCTCCTCTGGCGCGCGAAGCGCGCCAGGGTCGGCGCTGGAGGCCCCGTCAGGGGGGCACTCAGCGCTGACCCAAGGCATCCGTTCGGACTTCCGTTCTAATATTGTCGTCGTTGTCGTCGTCGCTCATCCGCGCAGCCGACCTTGACTGCCTGCAGGAAGTGGGCCCTGCCCACGGACGTGAACGCCAGGATATCCCAGATGAAGAAGGAAGTCCAGGCCCTCGAGAAATCTTGCGAGGCCCTGGAGGAGGAGGAGAAGGAGGAGGAGAAGGTGGGCAGGTGTGAGAAGCAGCAGCGCAGCAGCAGGAGTAGGAGGAGGAGCAGCAGTACAATGACAACCGATGGCATAAGCATGCGCCTGTTCAGGTCCACGCCGATCACTTGGGTTGGCGCTGGACACCCCCTGCGGCGCCTCAAGTGCCGCCAACTGGCGCGCTCCGCTTGCCAGCGGAGGGCGGTCCAGCACCGATTCGAGACATCCGCGCGGTCCTCGAAAAGTCTGCGATTGTGCAGTAATGGTGTTCTTCTATCCGACGTGAGCGAGGAGGTGGAGCAGCAGCAGCAGCAATAGCAGGAGGAGGATCAGTAAGGGGATGAGCTGGAGCACCAGGCTTCGCAGAGGGGCGCGCGATAAGTGCGGGAGTACCCAAAATGCCCCCAAAGAGTGCCCCAGGAAGGCGCTGGGAGGAATTAGAACGAAGTCACACAATAAGGCTATCGTGCGATTTGATGTTGAGTTCTCGTGGGCCCTTCTGGGCCCTCTTGAGAGTGTCTTGATCTCCAAAGGGGGCGTTGAGAAGGGGTCTGAGAGGGCTCAAGGGTTACCAGGATGGGCCCGAAGTGGACCCCGAGAGACGTCAGAACGAGGTCGCTTAAGAAGACGTTCCTCGCCCCTTAACTATCCTCCTCCTGTCTCTAGAGGTCTCTGGAGGCCCCCTCACGTCACAATGTTGATCTCGATGCGAATGCGAGTGGTGTTGCAGATGCGGATACGGATGTTGATATGTTGATGCCGTCGCAGGTTCAGATCATGTTGCTGATACCAATTTCCATGCTGGTGATCAGCATGCTGGTGCCGTTGCGGATGCTGATGATGAGGTTGATGCCGAGTCAGGTGTTGTTGCTGATATCGATTATGCTTACACGGTTGCTGATGGAGATGCCGAATAGTTCTGGATAGGTTGTTGGTGTTGATGGTGAGGTCTCAACGCTAGGCCCCAAGAGCAGTAGCACTTGAGCGCGCACGCGCAGAAGGCGTAGTGGCTTCGTCTCTCTAGCAGGCCTCGACCAGCTTAAGAGTCGAGTCTAGCATAGCTGGCATGGGCAAGTGATTCCGTGCGCTTGAATAACTACGCATGGTTTTATCGAAAGGTTTCTCCAACGTTCCCGATACGTATATCGAGCATGCCAGCGCAAGCCAGGGTACCTTTTGGGAACGGGCCGCCCACGATTCAAGTTCATGGCCGACCAAAATTGCCAGCCAGTACCTCCAGCACAAGGGTGGTGTATGGTGCTGGCGTATGTTGATCGCATGCCTTCGAAATCTGATCTTGCCGACTGGGTATTGTGCGTCGACGGTGTTTTTCATTTTGACATTGGTGAGTCCACAGACAGCATCTGGTCATAAGCTCGCTGAGACGGGGACGTACAGATAATATAAACACGCAGCGATTTTTGTTGGCCAGAATGTCGATCAGCTTTTCATTGATGCACAATCACCCGCAGTTGAAACTGCTTGGAGTAGCTGCAACGTGTAGTTCTCGTGGGGGGAGAAGAACTGCGCCCTCGGTGCTCAATACTTTGACAGGCCAGGCTTTTCGCGTGCTGTTTGCCTGACCAATGCGGAAACTCTTATCCTGCGACCTTGTCTGTTGCAGGCAGTGCGCTTTGCAGCCGCTTGCTGAGCCTTGGCGGAACGCTCGTCCTGCTCCCGTCCGACGCACGCCGTCGTTGGCGTCAACTCCAATGCAGGAGAACACGAGGTTGGAGCCGCTCCTGGCCACACTGGTCACGGAGTTCGACGAGAACTCCGCTGACCCGGCGTTGTTCAGGTCTGATCAGTATGTCGGTTCTGCAAAGTCAAGATAACCCGTGCGTTTTGCTCATGTTCTTTTCATGTTTGGATCACGTGTCTTCTTGGGTTGCTTCTATTATCGGCCCTGCCTGTACCCACCGTGTCGTCGACCCGTGTCCTGCCAGCTGCCGAAGGGCTCTTGGCAATTGCGAGCGACGGCAAAGCTTGTTAGTGGCGAGCCATTGCAGCAGGCAGCTGCTCTCCAGCAATCAACCTCGCCAGGCGGAGGGATGCGGCTTGCCCGACGAGGAGATTTTGGGCCAAACGGTTGCAGCCCCAGGCGATGGTGCCTTTGGCGTGCAGCTCCACCCCCTACAACGCATCCATCCTTCGCGCACCGAGGGAGACACTAGTCGCAGTTCAGCACCTTCAGCAACGCTGCCACGTTGCATACAACCCCGTGCCAGTCCGTTACCGGAGCCTCTTCTCAGACCGGTTGAAGGCTGGGGCAAGGCCTCCCTTCCTTCCCTTCCCTCCTGACCCCTCCTTCCTTGCACTGGCTCTTCTTTCTTCCCTCCTCCCCCAATCCTCTTTGCGGCTTCTTTCCCTTTCTGCCGTCCGTTGTCGTTCTTCTCAATGTTGTTCAATTATCCGTTCTACCTCCCGCTTCAGGGGATGGACGACCATCAGCACAAAGAAAAGGAGAACAACCTGAAGCAGGCAGAGTTGCTCAAGAAGGCGCCAGGGGGAGGAACGATATCCTTCCTTGTCTGGAGCACTTTGGCACACTTCCCCCGACTTCTCTCTCTCTCTCTCGTTGTCTGTGCTGCGATGCTCTTTCCTTGTCTCCCCTTGTGCCCCGCCTTCTCTCCCTCTCGCCTTCTCGTCCCCTCCTCGCCGCTCCCACTTGGCGCCCCTTGCGCCCCCGCCTCAATGTTCCTGGAATTACTTTGAGGGAAGAATATCATCCTCATCCACCTCGGTGCCAGGGGACACGATAAGTAATAATACTATTCATAATAACATGAACAACAATAAGTAGTAATAGTAAGAAGTGAAGAAGAAATATATTAATGATAATACTAATGATAAGTGTTCTGCGCCAACTGTGGGGAGTGCATCGTTAGTCAACCTGGCAGTCACAGGCTCCTAAGCGCCGGATGTCCACGCAGCAACGGGCATGACGCAGTCCGCGATGACGCGCATGAATTCGCCAGCGTTGTAGATGGCAGCTCAGAGCTCGAGCCAGTAGGCCTCGTGAGCTCCCGTCTCATGCTCTGGCCTGCGGACGTGTTGATTGTTGCCTCGGATCCTCCCGGGCGCATGGCGGCACTGGACGTGAAGGCCACGATTTGGCCACAGCCGGCGCAGGCGACGACTGCGTGGAAGCGATGGCGAGCCGGTTGGCCGCAGGAAACATAACCAGTAGCTGCTAGAGCCTTCTTGTGTTAGTCAGGATAGTGGATTGTAGGACTTGTGCCCGTTCTTTATGGCCACTTTCCACCGCAAATCTAGGCCTCGTATCGTTGCAGTTTTGCGCATCAATCCCGTAATCGAAGCTGTAGAGCTCGTAGGTCTAGTTGTCGTGGCAGTTGCCGCCGAGATGGTCCGTTTCGTATCCGTTCGCCCCAGGGCCGATTCCATTCTGAGTCTCGGGTTGGTTGATGGGGCCCCCACTTCTGCGTAGCACCTTCAGCACCTGTAGTTCGTGACGTTTTCCACGATGGCATGGCGCCCGCTGGGCCGCGGCGCTGCCAGCGGGCTGAGGCCGTCCCCCCCTCCGCGCGCGGGGGACAGATTTCCCGCAAACTGCCTTCCGCTTCCTCCTTCTCCTCTTCCCTGGTTTGGAACACCCACGCCCGCAGACGCGCGCTGGCGCGAATTGCGCCTGCCACTCGTGAGCAGTGGCTCTGATGTGTCACAGGACCGACCTCCTCCCCGATCCCCCCGCCGTTGCTCCTTTCTTCCTCCCTGCGTCCACCTCCCTGCGGCCGCCCGTGTCTCCGCGCTCGGCGTGGGCTGTTCTGTGCATGCCGGGCCACTGCGCAAAGCCGCGGCTCGAGGAACCGCCCGTTTTCCATTCGTCTTTGTCCTCCTGCTTGAGTGTGAGATGGCACAAGCAGAGGGGGCGGGGGAGGGGGCGGGAAGCCATGATGAATCTGATGGGGGCGAGAGAGAAGGCCAGAGGGGGACGGGGGGAGAAGGGCGAATGAACTGACATGGGGAGGAACGGGGAAGAGAGAAGCAAGGGGACGGGATGGGAAGTGGAGGGGTGGGTAAAGAATCGGAATCGGATGTGGTTACGCAAAGCGTCACCACAACACACTATTTGGGTGTCAAGCCCCTGGGCAGCCTGTGGAGAGAACCCTGCCTCTTGGGCGTATTCTGGGCTTCGACAGCGCAGCCTGGCAAGATCTTGGATCTTCTCAACACCGCAACACACCTGCGACAGCGACACCTTCGATATATAAATGAAAACAACACCTTGTCTGATGGGGTAGATGCTCGCATCGACGTGGAAGAAGTCACTGAGACCCACGAAGCCGCTTGGCCGAGACCATTTGCGTGGGGTCGGACCTTGTCCCCGACAGTCCCAGTTTCCGACAGTCCCAAACGGAGGATACCCATTCCAATTTGAGAAGACGCCAGCAGCAATGGAGCTCGTTCCGCCCGATTATCAACCTCCGCGTGCGTTATCAACCTCGCGAGGGACATTAAACCCCGACGGAAGGGCATGACGAAAGACCAATTCATCATGAAGTGCTGGATGTCTGGGGCATTTCGCCCACACGTTTCTGAATGACGGCATCACATATTCGCAATGCTTACAACTCGAGCTTGGCCGTCGCCTCATCTCCGAGGTGACGGCACCACACCGAGAAATCACAAGCAACGTACGATCGGGCTCTGACCAGTTCTGCGTCCACTTCATATAGGTTGTTGGATCCCAAAGACACGTCGATGTCACCCATTTCCTCGGAATCATGTCTGGTCCTGGCCACCGATACATTTGATACGGGCAATCAACTTGATGGCGTGCTCCACTGGGTTGATCTGTGTCCATAACGTCGAAGTAGTTCGACGCGTCACGTATTCTGAAGTCGTCATTCGGGCCGACCTCGAGCAGCAAACCTGACAGGGAAAGAAACGCACGAACTGCGTGCCAGGCGTCTGCGCGTGGCATGTGATTGATGTCTCGACAACAAATGGCCCGACAACGTCGAAGGCATGACATTCTTGATCGCGAGGGTTGCCGCTGCGAAGACGGGGTGGGGCAGCGCGTTTTGGGCCCAGGCTGCCTTAGCACCACCGCGAGGATCCCGTATTCCAGATCGCCTTTGCCAGGGCACGCGCGGTCGCCCGAAGGGGCGGCGCAACCAGCGGCGACGCCCGCAGCCAGAAAGCTCGGACGCGCGCGGAGGTCAATCGAAATGTAAGTTGTTGTGAGCCTCTGACAGACCCCAGGATGTCGATGGAATTGAACAGCTTGGTCCAGCCACCCTCGGCCCGATGGGATGACTGGGAGTGGCAGGAGCCGCGAGCACGCCCAAGTGCTCGATAAACTTGTTCCCGTCGTCTGTAGTTGACCACATCTGGCGCTTCTCGGCACTCCTGCGATATCCGATGGATGTATCGAACAGCTTTGTGGCCTCAAGGTCGTCACGTAGTAGGTCAGGGCCTTGGGCAACCAATGACCTGTCGTCCAGGAAGCAACGTCGGCGGCGTATCGGCTGCCTCGGCATGAGGGTCGCGATCATCGTGGCGGGGGCCGCCGGGCCGCCATGAGGTAACCCGCTGCGGTGGTCGATCCGGTTGGCGAGCTGTCCAAAGATATTGCAGTGCTTCGGTCCACTCCAAGCCGCCGCGCACGCGTGGTTGACGACGTCGGGCATCCCGTTATGCTTGAGACTCTCCCATGCACTCCCATGGGTTTCATTATCATGCGCTACTGTGGGTTTCTATTCCGCCCCATCCGTCGCGCCTGAGCAATCGCGGAGCCAAGCTGGGATTGCGCGAGGAATTGGGCTGCCCTTTCGGTTCGCCCACTGATCCTCTGGGGGCGACGGCGCCGACAGCGCCAGCGACCGCGGCCGCGTCCGCAACGAGGCCGACCCCGCACTGATGGTCTGGCCGTCGTCCTCGCCCTTCGGGGTGCCAGCCGCCATCCAATGGCGCGGTCGCGCGCGGGGTCAGGGAGGCGCCCGCGCCGGCGCCGAGGGGGGGGGATGTGGGGCGACGCCCCGCCTGGCAAGGGCTCGAGCGGAGGGTGACAGTCACTGGTGACCGCGAACCCGCTCGGCTGAAGCCGTCGGGGTAGGGGTAGCCAGCGTCTCCCATGTGCCGAGACGGACAGTTGCCACTCCAAATTCACTTGCTGCCCGAAGCATCCGAGCATGGTCAGGCGGCTCATCGGCCCGGTCGCGCACCGTCCAGCGACTTAGGTCGCGTGAAGGGCCAACGTCCAGTGCCCAGCGGGCAGGGCGACTCCCCGTTGAAGATCGTCACGCAGTCGGCGATGGCGCTGGCGCTCGGCCCAGACATGACGGAATTATGGTGACCACGGCGCTTGGAGACCGCGCCAGTTTGTCGCATCGTCCCCGAGGCGACCGCTCCACCCCTGGAGATTCTTCACAACGCGCGGCCACTTTCGCACGGGGATGGGACCCGCGCCGCAAAGACCTCATGAGGGCAAATGTCAACATGCGCTTCGTCGATATCATCGGCGTCGCAGCGTGAGCGCGGGACCTTCGCGGGCAACGCGCCCTCGCAATCGTGCCAATGGCGTGCGCGGCAGACTTAGACCCCGGCCCGATGTGCCGGCGATCATCAGCCGCATTCCCGGCCATTTTCCGCGCCCGGCGCTCGCCCCGAGATGCAATTTCCAGAGGCAGGCCTCGGGCGGGCGAGAGCCGAACATTCTGGGGGCCCGGCGCGCGAACGCGGCGAACGATGGAAATCCAACCAAACAACTAGACCACTCAGGCTTGTCATTCATCGCATTCAGCGCGGCGAAGATGGCCGCCGAATGCGCGGGGTGCAACGGCGCATCCTGGGCCCAGTGGCCGCCGCGCCGCCGCCGTTTCGGGCCAGTCTCCCAAATCGATCCCGCCAACGTCCTTGCAAGCGAGGCTGGGGGGGGGCGCGACAATCGGGCTTGCCCAAAGCCAGCTGGGGCCGCGCGCAGGCGCATGCCAAGCGGGGCCATGTTTGTCGGGGCCCAGTGATAGCGGCCAGCGCCCCGATGGCTCTGGCAAGTTTGCCCCGGCAGCCTCGCGGGGTGACGGGGTGGTCGACGTTCGTCGGTGCTGCGTGGGCCCCGAGGTGTCCCGCCGAAGTCTCTGCGTCGTCGAGGCCCGACCGCCGCTGGCATTTCTCGACCTTCTCGCGTTGTCCGATGGCGGCGTCGAAGCGCAAGGTCGCCGCGGGAACATTTCGAATGAGATCTGGACTTTGTGCAGCTGGCGACCTGCCGCCCATGGAACTGCGTCCTCGGCAGGTAGGTTACTGCGGCTTGAGGGCAGCGATCATCGCGGCGGGCGCCGTCGGGTCGCGCCGTGGAAGCCCGCGATGTGGACCGACGGGGTATGCGAGCTGCCCGAGAATACTGCGGTGTCTCTGTCCCCTCCAGGCCGCGCTGCATGTGCATGTGGCCATATTTGGCACTCCAGGGCTGTAGCCGCGCTGTACTTGGGGCTCTCCAGGGCAATGGCACGTGATATGTTGTCGCGCGCATTCGC